ATCACATGATAATTCAAAGCCATATCCATTGGTGGTCAAACTGAGTATCGTAAGAACTATATTGGCCACATCCGGACATGTTCCAGATGCCCTAGGGGATGTGGACAAAATCTGTCTTGACACAAATCTCATGATGCGATGTGTTGTCTAACATTTCTAACATCTTTTTTTCTAATGGGACTGACTTGCGGTTACTTTTCGCTGTGGGACAATTTGACTTGGTATTGTTTTTCATTTTTCTTGAACAAACCACCTTTTTTCAATAGCACATCTCGAAAAACATAGAAGGATAAACTGAATAATGATACTAAATCAAAATTGATAAAAATGCAGATGGGACTGACTTGCGATTTATTTATTTATTTTTATTTATTTATTTACACTAGGTCGCGAGTACAAGCTAAAGCCCAGTTGTGTCAACATCTTTTATCGCAAATCCTCTTGAGTAGCGACACCTTCGAGGTTAGTGTTGCCTTATCGTAGGATTAGCATAGCAGTTTATATATCCTTTGTATAACTACACTAATAGAATTCCACACATTTTTATTGACGAATTCTCATGTAAAATTCCACATGATTTTCATGTGACCACACATAAACAGAATCCACCCAGAAGCACACATGAAATTTAGGAGTCAAATTAATAGTATGTGTCGTAACACATGGCTTTTATGTGTAACCATATTAAGAATGTGTCCGTGAATTTGTTGATCACATTGCAAAAATTTATGTGTGTGACACATAAGAACAAGTTTACTCAACATAATTCTATGAATTTGTGTTACTTGGGTTGATAAGGTTTAACTAGTTTGACATCAAGCAAAAGGCCAATTCGACAGTGAGCATTAGAGTGATGCAAAATTTGACATTTTCGCTCCACAATACTTAAACGATTCCAAATCGGATCCTGACTAACCTCTCAAAATTTGAACCCATTTGGTGAGAAACTGAGATGGGACAAACCATTTGAAGTTTGTATAGGAATTACTATGGCGAAACCAAGATTTTTGTTCATGTCTATCTAGTAATTCACCATATCGGTCTGCTTCAAAAGCTTTCAACATTACTTGTAGGAAAATTTCCCAGCTACAACTTTGCTCAAGACCACTTTTTGATTAAATGCAAGGATCGAAAGTTATCAATGGTTCAATGCGCTGATGTCTTATGATCAAGCTCAATCAACTGCTCAGCAGGCAACATTGGTGTTTCTGGGGCGTTGAATAGGACACAAAAATCATGGCTATGTCACACTGCAAAATACAGTGTTGCCTACAGAGCAGCTGCTTGATCATGTCATAAGTTTACCAATCTCTTAAATAATTAATAACTTTTTCCTGTCTCGTTTTACATAGAAACGATCTTGAGCAAAGTTGTAGCTGAGAAAATTTTCTATAAGAATGGTTATCGAACTGTTTCGCAGCTCATTATGGAAAAAGACTAGAAGGCAATGAACAAAAAGTTGAGATTTCCCATAGTAATTTACATGTAAACTTCAAATGGCTTTTGCGAAGTCTGTTTCTAACCAAATGAGTTGTAATTTTGGGAGGCTAATCAGGACCCAATTTGAAACCATTTAAGCACTGTGGAGCGAAAAAGTCAAATTTTGCATCAGTCTGCATAAAGGCCTATACGTGATGATCGATTCTCTTCGTCGATTTTCTCTTTTGTTAATAACTCGCTTGATTTACACTGTGTAACAAGGCTTTCTAGGACTGGAAAAAAATCACTTTATTTGACATTCTCGTGGTCCCCTGAGTAAAAGTCTCGAACAAACTTATACCCTAACACGTCCTAAACCTACACCAGCTAACACCACAAGGACACAACTGATCGAGGAGATGGAATGCCGTTGGAACCGTAAGGAAGTGGAAGTGGGAACTCCAGATGCCTCTGATCTTCAAGCTATCAACACTACCATGAATGATCTACCATGAACGATGTCAACATACCAGCACAAACTACGGTTTTTACAGTGAATTTCCATGAATTCTAGATTTTTAGGGGGGTACCCCATTTGAAAAATTACCCAAACGAGGGTAAAGGCCCAAACGCAATGGGGGCGGAAGCGGAACGGAAACGGAAAGTTTGACAGTTGTCACAAATGACATCAAGATGCCTAACCGAAGTCGATTTGGTTCTAACTAGTTTTCAACCCGACAAGTAGGCTTACTCAGATCGGGCTTTTCCGCTGCCGCTGCCGTTCCGCTTCCGCTGTCATTGCGCGTGGGCCTTAAGACAATGAGATATCGTTTTCAAATGTTCTAGAAAAATGTTCCTCAAGTAAATTTCTAAAAAAAGCTTTTGGACGGTAATATTCCATGCCACACTATACATTACTTACGTTTTCAACACTGTCAGTTTTCACATACTTTCACTCGCGTTCACTAAACTTATGCACACGTTGTGACGAGGTGAAAATAACCGACGGGGACTTGCGTCGTGCAAGGATTTGGCTAGGGGACTTCCTAGACCAATTCAACCAAACTGCGGTTGCTGGTGACCAGTGGTAGCACCAGGGCGCATTGGTTTGGACAAGTTGGGTATGTGGTATCTAGTAATAGAGCACATTTGTTCCTTGTCGATGCTTGTCGAAAAAGCCTTTATTTCATTCAACTTACAGGGTTTATATAGCCGAAACGGCTTCAGAGTTTACAAAGTTCCTACATTGCATTTTCCTTAAACTAGTGAGTTAAAACGAGAAAGAACGAGACGCCTGGAAAGGTGTTGACAAACATTGAACATTTTGGTTATTTTACATTCTACGCATCCATCGATAATGTTTTGCTATTTGACACTTTTCGTTTCCTTAGTGGGTCCGCATACACGAGACCTCTGCTATGTACCGGCGTAGGAAAAATGTTAGAGTCAGCAAGACAAGTGTTTGGGTCGTTCACATTCATGCAATCGTACCACACATGCTTTCCTGACCTACCTCTCTCCGTTGCATTTCGGTTTGCTTATGGTTCAAAATGAAATGAGTAGTGACGTTAATATTTGTAACATGAATTGTGAATAGTGTTCTGCTAATTTATTGCATTGGGAAGATGCATAGCACAGTAATGTCGTAACATGCGTTAGTTAGGCAGTATACAAACGGCATCGGGACAACATACCAAAGTTCATAAAGATAGCGGTACTAAAAAATTAGGACGTGTTAGGATATAAGTATTTTCTAGACTTTTACTCAGGCGACAACAAGAAAGTCAAATAGGGTAAATTTTGTTAGCCCTAGAAAGTTGTATTATTCTTCTTATCTGGAAAGGCCTACATTATTTTTAAATTGAATGAAATAACAATAAAGTATGATTAATATCATCGGATTTAGGGTTTCATTCTTTTCGGTTTCATTATTTTGGGTTGTTAAAATAATTACTTTCCAGAAATCTCAACATACCAGCACATACTATGGGTTTTACAGTGATTTTACATAAATTCTAGATTTTTAGGGAAGTATCCAATTTGAAAAATCACCCAAAGGAAGGGTAAGACAACGAGGTATCGTTTTTAAATGTGGAAGAAAAATGTTCCTCAAGTAATTTTCTACAAAAAAATCTTGGACGGCAATGTCGTAACATGCTTTAGTTAGACAGTATACGACCGAAATCGGGACAAAATACCAAACTTCATAAAGAGAGCGGTACCATAAAATTAGGTTTCAGTCCTAAAGAAAAAAGTTCCGATTTGTTGCACAGCGTTATTTATCTAGGCTACTGAGATTGGACTCTTCAGTCGAGTTGCTTCAGTTATCTCCTTCAATAAAAGGTATCGCAAAGTAAAATGGGCTAGAGAAAACCCTCGATATAGTCGCGTTTAAAATTTGAAATAATTTTTAAATTTTGGTGACAGTATTATGCCAAAAAATATTTCAACAGAATTTTGAGCATATTTAAATGATCCTGGCTGCAAGTTCAAAACCTAAAAGACATGCATACCTAACAAAGTGACCGTGAATGGCATTTTTTAACAATAAATGTTATTTCGGATTGCTTCTATGCAGAGTTCATCCAGTAAAAATTAAAATCAAATACAGTTAACTACAGGCAAACATAATACAATTTATGAATAAACTTTACATACACGGATAGAAATCTCCTTATACATTTTGGCAAATTGCTATTGCAAATTATTCATAAAATGTATAAGTCAACTGATAAGCAGACGCCTTGCAAAAAGTTAATGAAGATCATGTGTCAAATGAAATGTATAAGCGGTCACACATACTTTTTATGCATTCTTATAGGACCTGTGTGGTTTGTCTTATGGAATGTATAAGGCTGATGTTTTGGCAAAAATGTATAAGTGAAACACATGAATAAAATAATTGATTTTCGTTTCGTGTACTTCGAAATAAATGAGAAACAAATACAAAGGAAAATTTATCATGGCAGCTTTGAAAGCTCAAAGCTTTAACTTGGTTCAAAAGACATCCTATCGGCGCCGGTGGTGTAGTGGTAAGCGTGATTACTTATCACCCCAGCAGGCCTGGGTTCAATCCCAGTCGGCACCGCCGGGATGTTCTGATGCATAACATCTCTGATCACGCCTTCCTTCGGGGAAGTAAAAACTTTGGTCCCCGGTTCATGAGTTAATGGGTCGATATGTAGGGTCCAGGTGTGGAAGCTACATCACTGGCATCGACAGAATTGGTGCTCAGCACGGAAAACAAGATCGACGGAATACAAATTAATGAAGAAAAAAATACATCCTGATTTGCCCTTAAACTCGCATTACATGCGCTTTTAATTCTTCCGTAATCACCTTCGATGCTGTGCGAATCCACTCTTATAATCTCCAAAACACACCCCTGTATCAATTCTATGAAACCCACTATGCTCTCTTGTAGTTAAACTGTACTAAACTTTTACTTGAAGTTGCTGGAACCTCACTTTCGAAGTTCTGCAGGCAATACCTATAGTTCACCAGTCGTAATAGAAGTGCGCTTTACTCGTCTAAGCCTTCAGAATCGTTCATGAATAATTATATATCATAAATGCACTTACCACACAAGCATGACATCAATCGCCTGAATATGCTAAACGAACGTCGATCCAATATCGTCTCTCTGTCCCAAATGTGCGATCCTCGCATGGAGCTCCCTCATCTTGGCCGCAAAAACATCCATGCGTTGATCGAGCTCCTCATAGATCGCATCCTGACTCATGGACTGATTCCTAATCTGCTCATCCAGCTTTGTTTCGCTGGTGTCCATTTTTCGCTGCAACTCCAGTATCATATTAGTCATCTCCTGGAATTTGCGACTGATGGACGATTCCAGCTTCTTCAACGCATGTCCACATTCCCGCTCGTGTTGCTGTTCCAGTTGATTCAGGCGGCACTCGAGACCATTCACACGATCCTTGTTCTCCCCCGCCACTTGATCCAACTGCGCCTCGATCGCAATTATTCTACTATCAATGCTCAGCGAAGCCCCCGTCGGTAGTTGGCCGTTTTTAATTTTCTTCTTGACCGTTTCACTCACATTCACTTTCAACGCGTTAATCTGCTTTAATAGATCATTTTTACAACCTGTTAATTCATTTTTCAGGCATTTTATCTCCTCCGCCTGTTGAGCGAGTCTCTTCTCAGCTGATTTGGATGAGCTAGATTTACTGTTGGCACGCTGCTCGTATTCCTCACTCAGCCGTTGCTGCTCCTGTAGACTCTTCAACGCCTTCAGCTCACTGCTCAGTTCACCGTACGCGTACTGGGTCGCAGTCAAATTCTTACGCACATTATTCAACTCGTTACTGATTTTATGAATATCAGCTGCTGTATAAGTTGTCTTATGTCGACTGAAATACGACAGCCAGCCAGTGTTTTCGTATTCTTCGGGTTGCATGTCGCGCTTGATCCCAGGCGCAAAATTCTTGACACGTTTGTTTCGACAGCCGAGATCACAGCACACTGAGCCAACCGAACGAATGAATGAATTAACCCAGATTCACTTTCAAACGCCAGCAGAAACCAACAACGTCAAATTGCTTTCAAGGGGGAAAATCTCTTTTAGCACTTTTCGACTTCAGAATAACAACCGCACTGCGACTGGTAGGAAACCTTCGTCGAGTACCGAGAGTGGGAAAGAGTTAATAAACTAATTAAGTAGATAATCTTCTTCACTCCAGACTCGTAATGCGACCACCACCGATTCAACACGTAACCCTAGCAACAACTGTGATGGGTAGCGGATTTTCTCTCCGTTGAGTTTTCCGCGAGATCTGCACAACTTTTTGCGCGCCCCTCCGACCGATATGCGATGCTACCGTGCGTTGATTTATGTGTTCCAAACTAGATTAAAAATAAATCTCCGCCCGATGCTCGAAACACTACACTAATAATGCTCTTATGTTTGATGCTCATCAGATGCGCGCGATTTCTGTCTACCAGTACTTGTTCTCGCTGTCTCAGAGTATCAGAGATTCATCTGCACCGATTGCGCTCCGAACGTCTAATGCGAACACCCGATGCGATGTCGGTGATACAAAAGATTGAGATGTTCGCACTAGGCCGATCTGCCCGTGGCCGTGGCGAAAGTGAGAATTTGGAAAATTTACAGTCGAACTTCGAGAATGCGGTGGGCGGCAGCAGCAAGCAGCGCTGATAATCCGGAAAGTACACGCGGCCCAAACGACAAATATTTAGGTACATCAAATATAATTAGGAGTTTTTCACATTGTCTACTTATACATTTCATACTAAATATGTAATGGTTATTCTTACTTATTTATTTGTTTTTTGATATACATAGTAGATATGTTGTATGCAGAAAACCGGCAAATTTTGATTTATGCTTACCTTCGAGGCCTAGCAAAATTTAGGGATTTTTGTTTCTCGGAAAGTAAGCAACATATTTCAAATTGGTTTTCACACTTTTATTGTTCTTATATTCGTCTTTTTGTCATGATTTGTTTTCCGTACTGAGTACCAATGCTACCTTACCTATCGACCCATCAACTTATGAACCGGGAACCAACGCCTTTACTTCCCTTGCAAAAGAAGGCATAATCAGAGAATTTATGCAGTCACGCTGCTCCCAGGAGGAAGCCTTCTTAAATGCACTGTAACGTGGGTAGATCACCTGTTCGTGGTACATTACGAGATGTAAGGCCTACCACCGATTCCTAGTCCTGACTACTTCAAACTAGGAAAATAGAATTTTACAGTAATCAAAGGAACACATTTTAGTCCTTGTTACTTTTTATGCCTTGTTGATAGTGACAAGACTGTAGAACACAGTAAGCCGCGTTTGAATTCTGATGAGCTTATTTTTGCTACGTGTTTTTCATCTGTGGATTTGGAAATTTTTGCATTAAACATCATTTGTTTGTGCTGTAATTGAGTTTTAAGTATTCCTGTAATTGTGCTATAATGTGTTGCCTCCCGGGTTCTCCGAGTTCGGATGCCACAATATCGACGTGTAGTTCTATCGAGGGTCTCGTCACCATGGACAAGTTTGAACCCGGTCCGGATGGTGAATTAGCCCGTGCTGGTAATGTGTCCGTTGCGAGTGGTGGCGATTCGGTGGTTGACGTTGCCGTGAACCAGCAAGTTTTCCGCTTGCAAAAGTGCTCGACTGCTGGTATCTCGCCGGTGTCGGAGATTGCTAGCAAACTGAAGGATGCCTCGGTAGATACGCCCAAGACTAGACGGGTGGTAGCTGGTGACCGCGAACGGTTCCTGGGGAAAGCAATCGACGGGAACCTTCTCCCAGATGACCATAGCAATGCAAAAAGAACACACGAAACGAAAATCAATTATTTTATTCATGTGTTTCACTTATACATTTTTGCCAAAACGTCAGCCTTATACATTCCATAAGACAAACCACATAGGTCATATAAAAATGCATAAAAGGTATGTGTAACCGCTTATACATTTCATTTCACACATGATCTTCATTAACCTTTTGCAAGGCGTCTGCTTATTAGTTGACTTAAACATTTTATGAATAATCTGTAATAGAAATTTGCCAAAAGGTATAAGGAGATTTCTATCCGTGCACGTTTTCGTTAAAGAAAATATTACGACAAAGGTAATTCCTATTAGATATATTTGCAAACAGTGACAGATCACGAAAATGAAGATTCAGTGGAGGTGCTGGGCAAAGGTGTTATATCAAGACTTTAATTGAAGAGGCCTCAACTCCATTTTGTGGACAAGCCTGTAGGGTCGTTTTCTAGCGATCCAAAGCCTACATTCGCAAACCTAAAACACAATCGAGTAGAGGAGAATTTCCCCTACCTGTTCATATTGTTGATTTGCGTTGGCGGACTTCGTTTCGCGACAAGGTGACCTTGTAGGGTTTGTTTGCAGAGTGGAGTTGTGGCCTATTCAATTGTTGATAGTTCAATTGCCTGTATTTGAAATGTAGATAATTGTTCAATTGCCTGTTCAATTCTTGATATCCTAGACAAATGGTAAGTTCCAAATTCGCTGTTGTCGTCGTCGTATTCGCCGTCGTAGTCACCGTAGGCAGTACCATTCGCGAGGGGGGCGACACATCTAAATCTCAATTCTAGATGCTCAACAAATCTCACACTAGCGAATCAATCTTCGAAAAATCTTCAATCATTTCTCGCATCTACTTGCATTGCACATCATCTTTTTGCAGGAAATCTTCAGAATCGTCATCAATCTTCTTTCTATCTACTCAGTGTGCGTGCAGCTAACCACAGCAAAACACAATTTTTCCTGCATCGTAGATAGAGTCGCTCTCGTCGACCATTCGTATATTTTAAATTAACAATCAACCGCTGAAACTATATGAATTATCGACAGAGACAGAGAGTTCATGCCATACCAAGCAAAAATTTAATCATATTTTGTCGTGGAGTATTGTGGTTTTCAGATAATCGATGACCCTGGAGGGATCGTTTTTGCTTAGTGAGCAGATTATCATGGGTTTAAACGCAAGCTCTCCCACAACAGAATAAACCGCGCAGTTAATAACCAAAAGTTGAATTCTCGCGTCAAATAGACCAATGTAACATATCCACCATTTTGAGAAAATCGTAGTTCGACAGATTATTATTTTATCTGTTTAGAAACAATAAATTTTGCAATACTATTTTTAATAAAGTCAGTGAATAATAACGTTGAAAATTCAGTAGAAACGGCAAAATCACAATTTTGCTTTGAATTTCATGCTACAAAATAGGAAAAAAAAACCACATAGGACGTTTTGACAAGCCAAGTTGTACATCGGACATGTCACATTGGACGATTTTTCTCAATGACATGATCAATGAGTATTACATTGAACGTTTTGTTCTACATGATACTAGATTCCCTTTCACAGATTTCAGAGTAGAGTACTTAACTTTAGATTGGCCCCGCCTTTAGAAAATGAGCACCAATCATGTCAGTCCGCATCGTGCTCTCTTGCCGTGCGGATCTATTTGCTTTTTGCTGAAGGAAGTGTTACTACTACCTAAAGCTACAACACATTTTAACAGCACTTTTCAGTGCTCAACCTGTAAAAAAAAATTTTCTACCTTGTTCAACTCTTATTCCTCTTCGATCCTTGTTTGGACCCTACCCGAGGTAATCCTTCTTGGATATCGATTTGGAAAATTCCTCTTCGATCCTTCAGATTCTTATAGTAATCTGCTTGGAAGTCGATTTGGATAAAAATTTACTGCCGCCATGGCGCCTAAACGCAAAAGAAAGGGGCAAACTCTTGACCCCCCTTCTGATGAAATTAATTTGAGTAATCAATTTGATTTGCTCACGGATGATGAGAATGATCCATCATCCAAGAAAAATTCTAGTAAACTTTCCCGGCTTAATGCCAAGAAGGAAAAGATTCCCCCTATTGTGATAACCACTACCGATTTCCATGCTCTTCGCATGGAACTTTTGAATTTCGTGAAAGTTAAGTTTTCACTACAAATTGGACGTCGGGGTGAATGCCGTGTATTGGCTGAAACCTTGGATGGATTTAAATGTCTTCTCAAGTATCTTACTGAGAAGAAGCACAAATTTTTTACTTACGACACCAAAACTGAACGTGTGTTCAAGGTTGTCATGAAAGGACTGCCCAGTGGTGAATCCCTGGATCAGATCAAAGATGAACTGGCAAAATTACTTGGAGTTGTGCCACTCCAAGTAATCAAAATGAAAATGAAATCCCGTCCTGGCGATTCGCGCAACGGGATTTCTAATGATTTTTATTTAGTTCACTTCAAGTCTAGTGAACTAAACAACCTTAAGGCCTTAGAAAAAGCTAGCCTTATGCTCCATGTCCGAGTGAAGTGGGAACACTTCAGGAAGACTGGAGGAAATTTCCAAAACCTCACCCAGTGCCGTAAGTGCCAGGGATGGGGTCACGGAACTAAAAATTGCTACATGCCAGCTAAATGCATGAATTGTGGTGATTCCTCTCACGCAAAGGACGACTGTCCTGTGAAGGAAGATCCTAAGAAATTTAAATGTTCAAATTGTGGTGAAAACCACAAATCCAATTTTTGGGAATGTAAGACTCGCAAAGCGATCCTACAATCTCGTTCTAACCGTCAGGTAGGAAACGCTCCACGTTTCCGACCAGGTACAAATTCCTCTGCTGTTAACAACGGTCAGCGAGGAACAAATTCTACATTCGTACCCGTAGGTACAAATATCTCCCCTGCTTCAAATGTTTCATCTGTACCTACTCCCCTCGCTGCTAACAATGTTCAGCGAGTTAATGGAGCTACCTATGCTGCTATTGCAGCGGGTAGAAATCAAAATACTAACCAACGTTCTAATGGAAATTTTGACAATTTTGACTTAGGAAGCATTACTGCCCCCAAAATGGAATTTTTACAGAATTCATTAATTGACATGATTTCTGATATGCTTAAATCTAACTCCATGTTTGATGCTATTCAAACTGGAGTAAAATTTGCAAATAATATTGTCATGACTTTAAAATTCAGTAATGGATTTTAAAGCATTAAATATTGTAAATTGGAATGCTCGATCTCTTAAAGATAATGAAGACGAGCTATTTAACTTTTTAAGAGTTCATAACGTGCATATTGCCGTTATAACTGAAACGTTCCTTAAACCTGCCCATAAGGTTAAGAAGGACGCAAACTACTTGATTTATAGAAATGATCGTCTTGATGGACCCTGTGGTGGCGTTGCCATCATTATTCATAGACAAATCAAACATAAAATTCTTTCTTCATTTGAAACCAAAGTTTTTGAAACTTTGGGGGTTTCTGTTGAAACAAAATTTGGACAACTTACGTTTATAGCTGCCTATTTGCCATTCCAATGCGTAGGCCAGCAAAAGAATTTTCTCAAGGGTGACCTCCAGAAACTTACCCGTCATAGGTCTAAATTCTTCATTATTGGTGATTTTAATGCAAAACACCGCTCATGGAATAATGCTCAAAGCAATTCCAATGGTAATATTCTGTTTGATGATTGTTCTGCAGGTTATTACACTATTCAATATCCAAACA